TAATATAATACCGTCATAGTCTTAATTAACATTGTGGTTCACACAGAATGAATAAAGAATGGTGGGGACTGAGTTGAACCATCCATACTAACTCCATGCTCCTACAACTGTATTTACCAGGCCTGTGATAATTATCTGTGACTTTGGGAAACTTTTTTTCCTTTTCCATGCTTCTATTTCCCATCCTATATAATAAAAGCCTAATATGCAAATTGATCAAAGATGGAAGGACCAGTCACTGTGATGCAGGGGACAGATGCTCAGTGCAGGAGCTGCCCCCAGCCAGCAGGCCCCAGGCCAGCCAAGGCAGGTGCCAGTGGTGGCCCTTCTTCCCCTGGATCACCCTGCTGGTTGCCCCACAGAGAGAGGCAACTGACAGTTGCTTCAGGAGATGGGGCCTGCAAGCAGGCAGAGCCAGGCTGGCCAAGGCAGGTGCCAGTGGAGACCCTGATTGACCTTTTTGTCTCCCCACAGATCAGCCTTGATCATTGACCAGGCCTAGGGACCCTACTCATGCACGAATTTTGTGCACCAGGCCTCTAGTTTATAAAATAAGAACATCGGGGTAGCAAGTAGGTTTAATCTGATATGTTGACTTCAATTAGTCAGTAGAGGATACCTATAAAATAGTTTTAAAAGGATTCTGAGGCCTTGGCTAGGCTCAGTAGATATACATTTTATCATCTACTAGCAATGTCTGAAATTGGTAGGGAGGTTAGTCACAGCTATCCAAAAATTTGCCAGATGTAGACTAAATGTTTTCAACAGACCTTCCTAATTCCCAATCATCTGGTCTTTTTTTTTGGTTTGATTTATGGACCTTTGTAATTGGGTGACATCTTATTCATCAAAATGAACATTCAATGTTGTCAGAGTGAACAATAGGTATGGACACTGAAGGAAACTGGTGGATTATGAAGCTGCTTTTTTGAATGGGATAGGGTTTTCTTTGAAACCTCAATGCAATTTGGGCATTAAAAAAATAATAAAGCACTGGGACTGGTTTGGCTCAGTGGATAGAGCGTCGGCCTGCGGACTGGGAGGTCCCAGGTTCGATTCCGGTCAAGGGCATGTACCTTGGTTGCGGGCACATCCCCAGTAGGGGGTGTGCAAGAGGCAGCTGGTCAATGTTTCTCTCTCATTGAAGTTTCTAACTCTCTGTCCCTCTCAATTCCTCTCTGTGTAAAATCAATAAACTATATTAAAAAATAATAATAATAAAGCATTTCATTAGGAGGGAAAACAGACTAGTTCCCTGAAGTTGCACGTCACAACCCAGTCATGCCCTGTGGGATTGGAATATCATTTGCTGGTAGGTTTCTGTCTAATAGCATTAAGCAATGGACACACTGGTGGGTTTGACCAGACTGGAAACATTTATTTACTGATCTATAACAGAACATTATAGCTTTCTAACACATAATTTTATTAATGTGTGCTCCAAATCAATTCTTTTATATGGATTTAGCCACTTGCTTTGATATTTAGGAGTTAAGACAAGAGTGACTAATTTCTGGGATAACTTGGTTAACTCAAGTAATGAGATTTGATCTTCATGAATCTTTAGGAGATGCTGTGAATCACTTTTCTGTCTTCCATTTTTATAAGGAAAGAGAAAATCTCCATTTGTCCATTGGCATTTTATCATTGTAAGCACAAGATTCTGCCTGCAGGGACAGGGACCTTTGCCTTAATTTTGAAAGCTTTTTCAGGATAGATTTGATACTTGGTCTCCTTTCTCCACAATCTCCATGGCAGGGTGCATTCTTCATACTCCCTCCTGTTGGCCTCAGTTCAGAGAGCTACAAGCATCCTTGGGTCCTGCTCTTATGAATCTGTGATTTCTGGCAAAGCAAAAATTGCCGGTCTATAATCACACAGTTCCATGAAATATGGTGAAAAAATTCTATTGTAGTTGGTTTTCTCAGAAACAGTCAACACTCTATGTGCTTTTTGTTCACAGAGTATCCTCAGCAAGACTCTTGATGGAAGGCCATTTTTATAGGGGAATCTATGAATATGACAAGACAGTGGCAATAAACAGCTGAAAGTAATCTGTGAGGCGTTTGCAAATTACCCCTCATGCACTGTAGTGGTTGCAAAAGATAATTTGTGGTTCTCGCAGAATACCCTGCAAATTGGGTCTTTCATCTGCGATGTTTTTTACGGTTAAAACATTTCATTTCTCATATTAACAAATGATAACTCTGAATTTGTTAATCTAAACAATTTGATTTATATTTTTCTGTGCTGAGAAGCTGTTGACATTTCAAAGTAAGTAATTATTTTCATTGCCAACTGCCGTTTGTGGTGATCATAGGCAAAAGATAGAAATCGGAATGTACGTATGCACCATTTTAATCATTTTTCTTAAAGACTGTTTATAAAGCAGGGATCTGTTTGCCTGAGTTATCATCTGTACTTAGAAATCTAAGAGGACACGGGTGTTGACGAACGAGGGTTCTAGCCACAGTCAGGGTTTTCTGTGGGGTATTGGATGCTCTCCATGTGATCACTGCGGACAGGGGACAGGGCTGCCTGCAGTGTCACCAAACCTCTGGCAGAGCCCTGAGCGCTGACAGTCTGAAATCACAGCAGCGAGAGGAAATGGATTATTGGCCTCAGTAGATCTCAGCTTATGTAATATCTGTTCAAGTATCTCCCAGGGTGGTTGCCAGAATTACATGACAGATGCTCCAGAGAACACCTCGCACTATGCCTGGTACATAGTGCAAGCTCTGGAAACATTTGGTGAAATGGGGACGACATGAAAAAGGATCATCTAAATTTCCTTCCTCGTACTGCTTTCTCATCCAGGGCAAGAGAAAGGAAGATTTTTTTTTTCACCACATCCTTCAACCGGATGTTCAGCCTTGCCAATTGAGCCGGAAGGAGGCACCAGGACTGGGGTGGAACAGTTGGCTTTCTCTGGGGTCTCTTTTTGATCTTAAAATCTATGCTAATTTCTCAATCCAAACATATCCAGGTTTATTTTAATATTCAGGAAAATTAACATCAAAGTTTATACTTTCCCCCCAGAAAAATCATTTAGCAAAATTGCTCCTTCGAAAAGATGGTCCTTCATTAGCTTGTGTGCATGCGTGAAGCCTACACTAGCTGTGGAGCACTGTGGGCAGGGGTAGGTAGATGGCCTGTGTGATGATTAGGGGCAGGTTGGTGTGTGTCCTGCAGGGTAGGCTGTGGTAGGTTCATCATCTGCTTTCCTCAGCTCCTTATACTGCTGGGTAGAGCTCTGGCCACATCAGACAAGTCACTATGCCTGCATGTTCAGACCTCCCATTCACATTTCAGGTCAGGGAATGGACTACTGATTTAGGACTCAAACCAGTTTTTCCATGGCCTGAAGGAGTGAATGTGGAGCCAGTACCCTGAATGGCAAATGTATTTTATCCTTTGAACCAACTTCAATTGATTAGTTCTGGTTGCCTATTGATTAGTGCTGTCTTAAGAAGGCATCTGTGGTACATAGAGGCTCAGCTGGGAAGAGTGCTGGGATTGATTAGCAATGTCTGTCAAGGTCTCTGCAGGGATAGCTTGCTCTCTTGTTGCCATTGTGTGCTTTTGATGTGTCTTTCACTCTTCTGTGTAAAATGATTTATTTAATACTAACAGGTGACTAAGTATGAGACGGGCCATCAGGAGAGAGAGCAGGTAGATTCCACTTTAAGAAAACCTGGCATGAGAAAATGCAAATTTACAAAATGCATAAATCTGGAGCTCATTATTGTCATTACAGAAAGATTCCATGAAAGGTTCCTTTAAATAGCGAGCTCCCCTACTGCATTAAAACGATGATTCAATTTACAGAAATTCACTTTGCATGCAACTCTCCAGGACCGTGTCTGTGCAGCAAAGCAAGCCCACCTGATTGTTTTAAACCACGGCCTACATGCTGTTCAGGGTGGCTGCTGCCACATAGCTCCAGTCTCTTGATAATTCCCACTCTCTTCAGACTTCCTTCTTCCTTCCTCTTCCAGAGTGTTGAGTAGACAATCTGGGTGGTGGTCAATAGCTGCTGGCTTCCACCCCGCCACGGCTGTGATTCATTAGTGGGTAAACTGATTGCTCCGCGAGTGTTTACGCGTGGGTGTGGCTGCCCAAGTCTGTGCACTCCTGCACTCTGGTGTGGATGCAGATACACTCAAGCCCTTCCCTTGCTCCCAGCCCACCCTAAATTCATTCCTGCTGTGAGTTACCAATGGAAGGTTCCCTTCGCCTGGTGGATATGGCCTCTCCATGGGATGTGCCCTGGATTCCAGCTCCCCGTCTTCTTTGTGTTTGTTTATATGTTATTTACCATCACATCTAAAACCTTCCCCAGGCCCTGGGCTCGGGTCCCATTACGCAGACATGAAACCCTCTTCTTCCTCTGTGGCCTAGAGAGCCCCAAATGGTTTTCTAATTTAGAAAATTAAATATAATCTGACTCTTGTGGCAGGCTACGAAATTCCGGACCAACAGACGCTCCCATTAAATATGTAACATACACAACATCTGAAAGTATCACCAATCTAGCATGAACTTGAATTATAGAGGCATTCGGTGCCCCTTGGGTAAGCTCCCCAGCCTCTTCCCAGGCGCTTACAATCGGGCAGCTTTCCAATGGACCGTAAAGCTCCGAGGAATGCTGACTGGCACACATGTTTGCCTTTCCGTGCTCTGTAAAAGCAACTTCATGGAGGGAAGAGGACCTGAAAGAGATGATAGCCCCCCTTCCTCTGTGTACAGCCTTCTCCCACATGGAATAAGTCTAAGAAACTTCTCAGGCACAGAACACAAGTATCATCTCTAGTTCATCCACAGTATTTAAAATTTAAAAATCTCAACATAAATTTCTCCTCCAAAATATTTTTTAAAGACACATCCTTTGTGTTTTCTTTTGGAAAAAGCAAAATGGGGCCGGAACAGTGGACATATCAGCCCTCCTCAGAGACTATCTTCTGGCCTAAAGTGACTATTCCTATTCGAGACGAAAGCACTCAAGCTGGTGGGTTGTCAAGCAGCTCTTTTTCTTCCGACTTCGCAGGCTCGATTGTTTGAGCCACAGGTGCCTCCCGATAATGAGCTGTGATGGCCGCATAGGTGCAGCCATAGATGGTGGCCACCAACATCATGAGAAACAGGATCCCGCACAAAACCCCGGCGATGATGACCGTGACCAAGGCGCGACGCAGATTGGTGGGCCTGGGCTTAGGTTTGAGCTCACACTCGGACGGGTCTTGCTCCTCCACACTGTGGCTCTTAGGAGACCTCAGGACAGCCTGCTGGGCAGGACTCAGCAGCTGCCCTGGCCAGGACTCCAGATCTGCAGGGGGAGAAAGGCAGGGCTGGTACAGCTCGTGCGGGATTTTAAGGAGGTCCTTTCCCTTCCAGGTATCTGGTGACGCACAGATTACACTGTCCATGACTCCCCCTTTAAAAAAAAAAAAAAAAAGCAAAGGATGATAACAGAGCCTGACACAATTGATTAGTTCTGAATTCCAAAGCCTCAACCTGTGAAAATTTTGGCAGATGGAATTTATAAAGCATCTTTTCTCTCCCCCCCCCTCCTTAAAGAATTTAACAACTACATTTTATGATTTTAGGATTTTTAAATTGGCCAAATGCTAAAAAAGTCACACTAAATTGGCAATTATGTCTGACCAAGAATTCAGTAAAAGCCAGGTCACCTTTGCCTTATAAAACGCCGAAGGCAAAGCGATGCGAAGCTGACAAGAAGGGGCACCAGAGGCCAACCTGAGGGCGCTCAAGCCCCTAACGAAGCCCTCTACACAACCAAACCGATTGTTCCAGCTCCCACTGGACATCTAAAAAAACAAAACAAAACAAAACAAAACAAAATCTCCTTTGTTGTGATATTATGTGTTAATTACAAAGACCCTATGTGTCTGGCAACACTCTTCCATGGTGCCAAATGGGAGGTCGTGGTCTTTGAGTGTTTTGCATATCTGAAGATTTGGTAGTTACATTAGTTAAATATAATCATGGGATTAAGGGTAATTAACATGTCTCTTCCTTGCTTTGAAACATTTAGACCTGAGAGTACCGAACTTTCCAGTGGCTTTTAGACTCAGTTTCTATTCTCTGTAAGGTGACTGATTTCCTGATGTAAGTAGACCACGTGCCTAGTAATTCTTTTCTAGAAAGAGGAATGGGCTAACAGGTTCCTTCCTGCCAAGCTTGATTACGAATTTACTATGTGACTTCAGGCGAATCAACTTCTCTGACTGCAGCTTTTGCCATGAAAATATTTATTTGTATCCAACTCGATCGTTTATGAATCACTGATAGATTAGTCCTCACAACTCCGCTACAATGGTCATTCTTGTTCAAGGTCAGCCAGGTCATAAGGGAACAGAACATCCAAACCCAGCTCACTCCCTGGATCCCAGATTTCCCCACTATACTTGGTGTCTGTTTCTGCTTCCTTCCTTCTCTCTATTTCCTCCTTCCTGGCATGTCCCAAGGTCAGCGGAGTTACACAATGACCCTCAGTAAAGCCTTTCTTTGCTGGGACTGAGTCCCACCCCATAACCAGTGACTCGGTTCCCCTGGCTGCCCTGAATTCTTCTGCTCCTTCCCCATGGATGGCTGTGAAGCCTGATACCACTCTCAGCCAAGGGAGACCACAAGTTCTTTGTGCCTGCCACAGGTGAACTCTGAAATAACTCCGGAAAGTCACGCAGGAGGCAGTCACTTCAGTAGGAGTCGAACCTTCCCTTTCATGGCACTGCAGTGACTAGGGAATGTCTTCTCTTACATCATTCTATTTGAGCCTTATAAGCCGAGTCCTACGTGACCACGTTAGTAGACGGGGCCATTCTGCAATACAAGGGTTATCTGACCCAGGTCACATCGGGTTAGAGGCTTTGACAAAATTCACCCCACACCTCTTTTGCTACCGCTACTTGAAACTGAATCTGAACCTGCTAGCCTCCTGGCTGCCCCCCTGGCTTCATCAGTAACCCCCCCGAGCCAAGAGCCCCAACTCTAAAGTAAACAGGTGTCAGAGGAATGTCCTCCTTTCTGAGCGGATATGCAGGTGGTAAGGAAATACACACACTAGAGCCCTGTACATGGCTGGAAGGCAGGGGTTGTGGCCACCAAGAGCCCCATGGCCTCCTGTGCACCTGTGTCCTCAGTCCAGATTCACGTCCCAGCCTTCCACCCTGGAGTCATGTCTGCTGACAGCTTGAGGGCCCCACACCCTCTAGACTCATGAAAGATGGCAAAGCAAGAAGCTCCAGCTTGCCAAGCACTTGTCATTCCCCATCTGGCCACTGGTAGCTCTTAACCACTGTCTTGGAAGAAATTTGATTTAAATCTTGAGTCTGATCATCAATTAGCTGTGCAATTAATTCTAAGAAAAATATTTGACCATTCTATGCTCTGCCTGCTCATCTGGAAAGTGGAAGGGGGAAATAATGAAATTCACCCCATAAGACTGCTCTGAAAACTAACATATATCAAGTTGGATAACCTATATCAAGTGTTTAGCACAATACCTACCCCAGAATAAATGTTTAACACAGACAGCTATTAGCATAAAAGTGATTTGTTACTTATGAATGGAGAGGGAGGAATACTAATGACAAAATCTATGCACATGTTTTTGTGGGGAAGACATTATTAAGTATTCACCACAGCATGTGTTTTGGCTGGGACCCACAGGAAGATGAAGTTTCCCCACCCTCTGTGGTCAGGTTGGGGCCGTGTGACAGAGTTCTGGCCACTGGAACCAGCAAACGTCACTTCTAGGCCCCCAAACCCCTGCTTAATCCTCCAAGCACTTTGTTCCCATTTGGTGTTAACCTTAGCGGCCACGTGGTCAAGTTGGAAATGTCGAAAGGGCCTTAAGTCCCTGAAGGACTTAAGCACCAATCCCAGCTCCTCCCCCAACTCCCTGGGACTGACATGAATGTCTTCTATTGTGTGCATCACTCAGATGGCTGTCAATCAATCAGCCTGTTCTGACTAACACTGCTAAGGTTTGTGTCTATATATGCTTCTTTTGTAAAGAAGGTCTTGACCAGTGTACCTAGCCCTTGGTTTTACTTTTATTCATTAAATCAATAAGTCAGATTGTCTCCTACATCTAGCATCTATTGGGGAGGGGCAGTTTCCTAGTTATTTTGGGCCCCCCAGATCTTGTGATCCCCAAATCCATTCCACCTTCTACAGAAGGGCTGTTGTCTGTGCCAGGGACCTCTGCCCTGAGGGGGCATTGAACTGAGTCATGGAATCAGGACCAGAATAGGTCTCAGGAGCTCCTGGCTCAGCACTGTCAGTTTCCATCTGGTGACCTGAGAGCTGGTGCATGGCTGTCCAATGCTCATGAGCAAGTTTGTGGCAGAGCATCCCTCCCTCCCACGTTCCTTCTAGTGTCCTAAACCTAGGAACTATCTTTTTTCTTTGTCAAGAAATATTCTTCTTTGATAAAAACTATCTTTTTATGGATGTTTGGCTCATGTTTACCATTACTAAAATACAATAGCTGAAGCCACTTCACCTCTAGATGTAAGAAAGATTTTTACCACTGTATGTAGTCCCTGTTGTAGGTCAACTCTAAGATTAGCTGCTTAATGATAAGTTGTTTGCTTCTACATTGTTGAGAGGGAGTCTCAACTCGACATTGTGTACTTGAACTCAGGGTGAGCTCTAACCTGCTTCTTTCTGTCCTCTAAGCTGCTACACCATCCAACTCGGCTAACTCCCTAATTCACATCCGTAGCTCTGCTCTCTCCCTGTATCAGAGAGGCTCAAATGTACATCCAATGCAACAGCTTCCTTGAACATGAAATGTGCATCTCAAACTTGATCTTCCCCCAACTAAGGTGTTATTTATTCTCTCCCACACACACTCACCCACTTCCTCCTTCCCCATTCCCCAGTCTGCCCCTCATCAACTATTGGCATCCTATATCTGGTTATTCCTGCAGGACAAAAATTTGAATTTTCCCTGATTATTCTCCTTCATCTTCTAGTCCAACCTGTTAGCAATTTCTGCCAGTTCAGTATTTCAAATGTCTCCCAACATTGATTACTTCTCACCAGCCTGGTCTGGGCCACCTCCACCTCTTCCCTGGATGTCCGATTACTTCCCATTCATTCCCCTGTTTCTTCTTTGGTAGCTTTCAGTCAGCTCTCCCTAGAGTCCACAGAGTGACCTTTTAAATTGTAATCAGATCACATTGTTCCTCTAAGTAAAATTCAGGAGATTTTTATCTCGCCTAAAATAAAATACAAAGGCCTCTGCCTGCTCTTCTGGTTCCTACATGTTAGCCCCTGAGTATTTGTGTTATCTCTGTCTTCTCTCTCATTCCCTTCCTCTCCTCCAAGCACTCTTTCATCCTTAGTCAAACCAAGATCACTCCCAGTCAAGCCTTCTGCACTGCTTCTCACCTCCACTTAGCTCACAGCTCCTGCCTCCTGAGCAGGTTCTTCTGGCCCATGTCTCCTCCTTGGAGAGGTCTTCCCTGGCCTTCCTATCTAAAGTGGAACCCCCATCCCATCCCTCCCTCCCCTTCCCCTGCCTCAGTTTCCCTAGCACTAACTGCTTTCTGAATATGGATATTTGATATCTTATTTACCATCTGTTTCTACCACCAGGTCATAAACTCTGTGATGATAGGGATTTTCTTGTTCACTTGCCTTTTCTTGGTGCTTAGAAAAGTGCCAGGCATATAAGAGGCACTCAAATATAGGGATGAATAAATGAACCACTGTGGTGTAGAGGGAGGACCTAAGGCCAAGACTCAATCCCATTCACTCTTTTCTCTTCTGAGCTTCCAGTCTGTCATCTTGGGCAAGTTGTTGAGCCTCCCTGGCCTCCGTTTCTCATTGGTTACAAGCTAGTATTGACCAACTTTTCTCTAAAGGCCCAATAGCAAATATGGTAAGCTTTGCTGTATATATCCTGTCAAAACTATTCAAGTTTGCCCTTAGAGTGCAAAACAACCACAAAGAATAAATAACAAATGGGTGTGGGTGTCTTTCTTCACCAAAAGTCTTTCTTTACCAAAACAGGGGAGGGCTGGATTTGGTCCTCGGGCTGTTGCTTGCGGACCCCTGGGGGATTTCCAGATCCCCTCATCTTTAATATTCTAGGGTTGCTTGCTTTGGTTTTGACATCTAGTTAAAGAAATAGTCACTTTAGAGAGGGGGCCCTGTTGCACCCAACTTCAGTAACTGGTACTTGCTAACGCAGAGGGACCCCCTTCGGGAGGATATGTAGCTGTCGGTGGGTGGAGGCAGACACAGGGGGGATGTCCCAGGGACAGATACCAGAAAACTGAATGTGATTCCAGTTTGGAGGTCAGCAGTTATTCAGATGGAGACCAAAGTTCCCTCCTTTTTAAGGGCCCCCAGTTTCCTGATAAATCATTTAATGCAGTTATCACTCAAAAAGTGGAAAGTTATCTCCATGAACTGGATTTGTAAAATGACTTTAAAAACCTGAATGTAAACCTCTTTTAGTGACTCATGTCTCTGCCACACTGTTACATGACACCAATGAGGACAAAGCTTCTACGGGCCCCTCGTGCACCCCACAAGGTCCTCTCTAATACAGAGAACAGATGAGGTTTACCCCAGGTGAGTGACCCACAGCCGGGCTTTCCAAACAGACGTTACTTACCTTTATAGAGAAATTTCTCCAGCCAGAGTTTGAGACCCAGCAAGTGGCAATTGCATTTCCAGAGGTTGTCCTTGAGAAAGAGAAGCTTCACGCTGGACATGGACTCTAGGAGCACCCGATCCAGCTGCTGAAGCTGGTTTTGTTGGACAGCGAACAGGGTTAGGTTCTCCCAGCGCTCACCCAAGGCGGCTGGAAGGTGGTTGATGTTGTTGGATGACACATCCAGCTCCCTCAGCTGAGGGAGGGAATGGAAAAGTCCACTTTCCAAGGAATGTAGGGAGTTCTGGGTCAGGTTTAAGACCCGCAAGTGCTGAAGTCCATGGAAAGCTCCGGGGGCCAGAATGGAAAGCGAATTGTTGCCCAAGTTCAAGGTCATGAGCTGTGGCACTGACCTGAATGCAGAAGCAGAGAGCTGGTGTATCTGGTTATCTTGTAAATGCAGCGTGAGAGTCTGAGGAGGCAGATCGGGAGGGATTTCAGCCAGACCCCGGCGGCTGCAGTCTACAGAATTCAAGGTCGGTTGACAACGGCACTTCTCAGGGCATCCACAAGCCACCCTGAGCAGGAAAACCACACTGGAGAGCAGGAGCAGCTCACCTAGGGCAAACAGAAAGGAACTGGGATGGGAACCAGCTTGTCAGTGGTCCGTCATTTCCTCCCTGTGGAACACAGGCAATGCGATTCTGAGCCAGCAAATACCCTGCACCAATTTCATAGACTTGGTGCATCCCCAGTGCCAATACCTTCTGCACCTCCTGGGTTAACATTGTCAGGAGCCTTGGAAAAGACACTTTCTCAGCAGCTCAAAAATCAGAACGTGGGAGACTTTAGGATGTTGACTAGAAAGGTGAAAACATCTTTCTGAGGCACGTGCCCTGGTAGGGAACAGCAAAATCAGCGGGGCCAGAGTGTGACAGGTGATAGGGAGGTCAGGTAGTCACATTTCTAAAAAGTGTGCCTCATCAGTGCGAGCCATGAGAACTTTCTGTGAGGATGGAAACACCCTACATCTGCTGTCCAGTGTGGTAGCCACTGGCTGTGTGTGGCCACTGAGCTCTGAAAGGTGACAGCGGTAGCCCAGGAACTGAATTCTTATTTGCATTTAATTTTAATTAATCTAAATGTGACTAGTCACATGGTGCCAATGGGTAGCACATTGGATAGGACAGGTCTAACATGTTCCTACAGACTGGCTGGTGTGGCTCAGTGATTGAGCTCCAACCTAGGAACTCAATGATTTCATTTCCAGTAGCAGGTGTGCGGGAGGCAGCTGATCTATGATTCTCTATCATTGATGTTTCTATTTCTCTCTTCCTCTCCTTTTCTCTGAAGTAACATCTATCTATCTATCTATCTATCTATCTATCTATCTATCTATCTATATATAAAAGACAAGCGACCATAAGGCCAGAACAACCAAAATGACAGGTTGCTTTTGACTTGAACTGCGGCTCTGATCACTTCCCACACTCCAATCTCCCACAGCCCCTTCCACCAGCCAGTCAGGCCCCAATTGGCCCCACTCAGGGTGGGCTGGCTGGACCCCACCTAGCCAGAATATACATACCCCTCTTAACCTTTACATCTGGTTCTACTATTATCCCCATTTTGAAGGTGAGGCACCTGAGGCAAAGACAATAGCTTCAAGAACAGCTTCGAATCACCGCTTAAGGTCACACATATAAGTAATAGAGTCAGGATTTGAACCCAAGCAGTCTGCTTTCAGAGCCTGTCAGGGTTCTTACCTGCTGTGCTTTGCTGCCTGTCAAATACTTATACACACACACACACACACACACATATACATAATACTGTTTTTTTTATAGTGGTTTATAATAACCTACGTGAATATATTCAGCAGCATGTTTCATTCTGCATTTTACTCTAGTCACTCAAAAGTTATCTATTCATGTGGATACACAGAGTGCTAATTCATTTCTTTTAACTGCTATACAATATTCCATGGTGGGACCATGTCTTTTACCATTTATTTCCTCCCTCACTGATGAGCATTTGAGTCATTGACTTTTTCCCTCATTAGAAATTAGGCTGCAAAGAGCACTTATGCACAGAGCTCCCTGGCTGTGAGGAATGTGGCCGTGAAAAAATGTGGAAGAGGGTCTCTGGAATCAATCAGAAAGTTCAGAGGATGGGAGCTTTCTAAGTACTGCTAGATTCTTCTCCAGAGTAGCTGTATCATCCCTTCTTTTCTGCTGAGATTTGAATTTCAAAATAGGGCAAATATCTGACAAGGACACTTTGTTCAATTGGTACAGGAATTCACAAGGCCACACAATAATATTGAAAACTCAAAATAATTACCTCCTCATAAAAAGTGGTCTTGAAAGAGGTTTGTTTGTTTGTTTTGGGCCTGAACTATGGAAAATAAAGCCTGGCTGTCAAATGCCCTGCATCCTGTCCCTTGAATTTTCTCCGGATGTGAGCAGTGCTTTGGGGCAAAGGAAAGGTGTCTGGGGAGGTTCTGCTCAGTGTAGTTGAGCTCAGGGGATGCAGGACATCACAGCCCCTTCCCTCTTCCAAAATAGAAAAGAGCAAAGCCCTCATTTTTCCTTTCTAATTCTTACAAATAACCTATATGATTCCTTTCAAAGCCAAACATCTTTCCTTCCAAGATTAGTCAACAATCTGCACTTTGGCTGTGGGTCTCAGGCATTAACTGGTTGTAGGAAACCAAATCTTCAGCAAGAGAACACATTTTCCCCAAAACCCACTGATCTATTAATGAAAGGCTTATCTTTCCAAAATTGCAGCCAGTTAGTTCATTCTTTCTTTTGTCCCACTCCACCCACCTATGGACCCCAACTTGAAGCATGATGTTTTGTATGAAATGGCCAATGACATGCATCTGCATGTCTGATCATGGCTGGGCACATTCATCCCCATGCCTGCCTCTGACCCAATGTGGCACACACACATTCTCCCTCAGAGACATTTGTTTGCTCTGTTTGGTCTCTAGAGACAGACAACATGAAACTAGGTTTCCCACCGACACCTTTTTGAGGTGATCCCATGCCTCCCCAGGGGGCTTCTCTGAGGGGTGAGGGGATGGACACAGCATGGCTCACCTTTCATGACTGCAGGCGTCCGTGTTGACCTGCAGCCCTTCTATTAATTAGCAAATCCACATGCCGAGAGCGTGGCCAACTCGCAGTCCAGCTTTTCATTCGCTTTTCCAGCTGCCTGCTTGTGCTTTCTTCAATGCAGAGACAGTTGTGGTTTTCAAGAGACCCTTATTCAAGCAGTCCTCTGCCCGTCTCCATCTGGCGGGGATTGTTTTCCATTACGGGGTCTTTTGACTGCGACCCTCTTCTTTCTGAAAGTGTCGACCTCCCCGCGATCATCCCTGCCCGTCCCATTCAGATGACAAGCCACAGAAAGAACATTTGTCAACTCGGCGAACAGCTGTAGCATTCAAACATGACCCCGATGGCTGGGGCTTTTTGATTAGTTAATCTGCTTGAAGTCCAGGCCACCAAAATAAAACCGCCTGCTTAATCCGGTCGTGGTTTCTGAATGCTGTTGACTTAGTAACTGTGCTGTGTCAACCCTTGGCGGGTTGGGGGGATGCTCACCATGGATCCTCAAGCTGGGGGTCTGGCAACGGAGCCAGCAGAGTGTGTAATATGAGGACAAATTGGCCTGCTGGAGGCTGACATGGTTTCCACAGTGCGCTTGTTTGGTCATCGGAGGCTTATTCAGCCAACATCCGTGGGGATTAGCTGTGTTGACAGGGCCTTGATGCCCTGAAATTCATAGCCACGGTTTTCTTTCGTGCACATCCCAGTCTATTCTCCCTGGTGCCACAAATACTTTTCAGCTGCCTCTCTGCCTGCTCTCTGCCTCCCCCTCCGACCGCCTCCACCCCCATTCAATTGACCTTTTGGTTCATGTGACTTTGAAAATACTTCTCAATCTTTTAACGTTTCCCTGATTTTTCACCTATAAAGCAATAAAACCGCCCCTGTGAGCTTCAGGGGGGTCAATGAACTGTGACTGTTGTCTAATGGAAGCTGTTGGGAACTTTCCCACTGGGGACCGGAACATTTCTTTGAATGTGCAAATCCCCTGACATTTGACGGGGTGGAGATGGCCCAAGCTGCCCTTCAACATGCTGGAATGCTCTGTGAGACACGGTGACTAGTTGGGATGGTGAAAACGTGCTTTTCTTGAGGTGACATGACCTTAGCCAGTGTCATGGGGCTGCAGAGTGTGGGCTTTGAAGTCAGATAAGTCTGGATTTGAATTTGGTTTCATCATTCATCAGCTCTATGTCTCTGGGCAAGTGACTTGTGCACCAGGAACCCCGCAGCCTCACCTGTAACATGGATTGTTTTCGAGTTAAAGCAATACATATCATGGCCCAGAGTGCCTTCATTCATGCTCACAATAACCCAAGGGGATGTCTGCCAGGACTGTCATGCTGCTGCCTTTCAAAGGCCAACCTTGACTTGACAGGTAGAGTGAGGTCTTAACAACAGACTTGGAGCCCTGACCCCTCAGGCCACTCCTGAATGAAGTGGAAAAATTGGGCTGTGACTGTCCTTAATAGCCTTGTCTTCAGCCAATCCCCTTCCTATCTCATAGAACCCAACATGCTCACTGTGACCCTTCCTGAAACACCTGCTTTACTCATCCGACACCTTTTGTCCTCCTACACCTTGGAGCATGGGAGATACAACAGTCAGATGTAGGCGACAAGGAACCATTAAAATCTTAATGTGGGATAAATGACCTCATCCTTCCTCCCTTTCTTTCCCACCATCTGGTCTATTTTCAGGGGCAGAGAATTTGATAATCATCATTCCTTGGTGATACATGACTATCGACGATCCATATATAGCCTTCGGTCATTAATTCATCACAACATAACAAACACCCATGAACCTAACACTCACTCTAAGAACTAGAAAGTTACCAATAACTCAAATCAACCTGTGTGTTGCTGTCTTTTCCAGGTGTTAGCAAACATATTTTGAAAGGGCCAAATAATAAATATTTAGACATTAGCCAGGACCGGTTTGGCTCAGTAGATAGAGCGTTGGCCTGCGGACTGAGAGGTCCCGGGTTCAATTCTGATCAAGGGCATTTGTTGTGGGCACATTCCCAGTGGGGGCTGTGCAGGAGGCAGCTGATCCATGACTCTCTCTCATCAATGTTTCTAACTCTCTATCCCTCTCTCTTCTTCTCTGTGAAAAATCAATAAAAATATATTTAATAAATAAATAAATAAATATTTAGACATTAAATATTTAGAATACATTACGGTCTTTGTGGTAACTATTCCACTTTGAAATAGGGAGAAGCCAATGATAGACAATCCATAAAAAAGGGCATGTCTGTGTTCCCATAAAACCATATTTACCAAATCAGGTGGAGGGCCCAGTCACCCCACAGGCCATGATTTGTGAACCCTGCTCTAGTCCTTTATGTAGTCACTGCTCCACCATCGTCACCTGTCACCCACCTCATCTTCTACCACCAGCTGGATGTGTCTCCCTATCTCCTCATCTATAGAATGAGGGTCTGAGGAGGGTCTGAGGGTCTTAGGGTTCTGTTATGTGTAAAAGCTTTTCATTATGGTCAGGACACCCGAGTGGACTTGAAAGGCCCTGTATTTACAGACTTGAGGGAGTTTGAACAAACAAAGACTTTGAGTGTCTCTTTGGGTTAGAGCAGAGCTATTTAGCTTCCTTCTGCAGGGCCCAACTAGGGTCCACATCTTGAAAGATGAATACATGGACAGCAAAGCTGGTGCAGGAGGCCGGGGCACCTGCAGGGTAACTTCAGACATCTGGGGACACCTGCAGTTGATGCCAAGCCAGTGGCTAAATGAGAAAGCACACTTCCATGCTGCTTACCCTAAAGCTATGTAGTCTTAGACAAACCACAGAATCTCTCTGAGCCTTGGCTTCCTCATCTGTAGCATGTAAATAATATCTTCCTCAAAGAATCCAGGAAGGCCCTAGCCAGTTTTGCACAGTGGATAGAGGGTTGTACTGAAGGGTCCCAGGTTCGATTCCAGTCAAGGGGTTGCCTGTATGTGGGTTGTGAGCTCAATTCCCATTGTGGGGCGTGCAGGAGGCAGCCAATTAATGATTCTCTCTCATCATTGATGTTTTTGTCTCTTGCTTCCTTTTCCTTTCCTCTAAAATCAATAAAAATTTAATATAATAAATAATAACAATAATAAAGGATCAGGAAGGATGAAGTGATATATATTAAGTGCACAGCTTAGGTCGTGCACTTAGGTCTGGAAGAGACCTATGCAGCAGATGATCAAAAGTGGACATTTCTAGTAGCCAATTGTATTCTTGGACCTCAAAGAGTCTAGACTGACTGCTCCTACCTAAAATGTGAAGACTCGCTGAGAAGATGCAAAGCCCCCTCACAGCTACAGGTTCTTTGGAGCAGTGATGTGCTGCTCAAAGAGGTCCTTTGGTTCTCCTTTGCTCTTGTTGACTCTCACTGTTGATTTTGAGGTGGGCAGTGCACACTTGGACGGAGAAGGACTTTGCATGCAGAGGCTGAGTGATTAATTCCATCTGACCTCAGACCAGAGAACAAAGGGAGGATTGAGATCTGCATGTTAATGCCTACAGCATCTTCTTTCCCTCCCTCCCTCTTCTCCTTCCTCCCTTTGCCCCTCCTTCCCTCCATCAGCCAGATCCCAGAAGTATCAAGTCAACTCTGCATGCAAAAAAGTAGGAGAGATGCCAGATGTCAGGTCAGGCCAAGCCATACCCCAGAGGAGAGGAAGCCACGGTGAAGGGCGAGGTGCTCCTGGTACCAAGACTTAGTCAAGAACCTTGTTTCCCACACAGAAACGTGCTTCAGACACACGCTCAGAGATTGTGGTTACTATGATACCGAGATTGCCACAATTTCCTAGCTTCTCTATATTTCCAATATGTGTATAATATATAGACATATATTTCCTATACACTTTCGCCCATGTTAAGTCAGAATGTTGTCTACTGTAAATCGGTCTATTTAACATTTCACTTCCAAAAAAAATAAAAGGATCAACAATTATTAACTCTTAAAATTGTTGATGTCTTGAAATTGAACAAATAGTATTTCCTCCCAGGTAATGTTATTCAGTTATTTTCAAAAAATATGTTGGAGTTAAATATACTCACCTGGGAGGGTACTCATAATAAATTGTTCTGTTAAATAAAGCAATTTGAATGGAAATGCATATTGTATAATCCCATTTATGTTGGGGGGGGAATGTGCATTGGTTTGTCTGAAGATGAAATACCCTGATTATCCAGTGGGCAGGAATAATTTAGAAGAAGAAAGGAAAAGTAAAATATTCTCTTTCTACCTCTGCATATTCAATTTGCTACTGCAAACATGTATTACATCTATAATCTTAAAAACATAAAGAAGAAAAGCTGACTTCTGTTAAGTAGCAAGTAAAGGTGCATTTTGTTTACTAGAATATTTTAGATCACTTATTTTCCAGGTATTGGCTGAGTTATAGGCGTAAACAGAGCATACCCAGAGCTTGATGGTGTGTCTTTCCCTGCCCAGTGATCTGGGCCTGCAAGCAGACCATATAGTGCACACAAGCATGTCATCCAGTGCTGTCATCTGCTTTGGTGAAGTCATGGCAAAGGGCTTTCCCATCCCTCTCCCTGGGCCCCATCCAAAGCAGGTGCTTTGAGGATCTGATGTGAGGAAGGTTGTCAAATTGAGGGACAGCTGCAGCCCAAGATAGTAGGAAGGAAGCCCTGGCACCACAAATCCACACGGAAATTTCATTTGGTTGTGGAGGAAATAGGGAATTTGGAAAAATTTTCCCTAAGAATTGTGGATGATCAAATGGCACCAGGTATAAAATCTATAAAGAGCTATTTACAAGAAAACCTCTTTCTTCCTTTCTTCCTTTCTCCCTTCCCCCTCCCTCCCTACTTCCCTACTCTTTAGTCTTATAAAACATATCGCAAGAGAACTAAGAATTTATTTTAAAACATAAACATATAATTGATTTAGTGTCTGCAGTGGGTCAATATTGCTAAGGATTTGTATTAAACTAATGTAACTGCTGTAACAAAACCCAAATATCA